GGTAAGAATACTAACAGTAATAACTAATGTGTGATATTGAGCTCTACACTGTTGACACATAAAGTGACATTTAACTTATTCTTGCAGGATCCCAAACACAAAACTTCATAGCCTATTCAACTGTTAGGTAGCCTGAAATGCACAAAGGACTGAAGGCCTGTTATGATATTTTCTTACACTGAAGCAGAGCTTAACAGATCCTTAGTTTATGCTCCATGTTCACTTAAAAGATAAGGTCATGGTCGTGTGTCATGATGATGGAGAGCGTCACCCACACTGCAAAACAAAGAATCCTGAAACAGTCATCACCTCTTCCCGAGGCCAGATATAAAAACAGAGAGCAGAAAACAAAGCTCACCATTTGAAAAAAAAAAAGCAATCCCATGTCCTGTAATGATAAAACTCAGTGAGGAATGGAGACTGTTTCTTTCATTCATTCTGCTCTGCCTTTTTGTTTGTGTAGAAAGCAGTTTTACAGAGGTAGTTTGCAGGGAAAGTTGTAAGCACTGTGCTGCTGTCTTTGTTTTCCTTTTGTACGATCAAACCTTGCAGTCCATTAGCCCAGTCCATAGACGTGAAGCCTGATCACTACCCAGTACCTAAGGGTCCAAAATGGTTCAAGTTAGCTGTTTGTGATTACACTGCCACATTTTTTCTTACTCAAAGCTTAACTTGTTATCAACAAGTGGCATGTCCCTGAGTTGAAAATGAAGCCAATGGCTATAAGTGCAACCAAAAAAAGCGCAGTTCCTCATGCATCAACTTGAGAATGGTTCCAAAAGCCCTAGAAGCCCCATAACACCCATATTAAAACGCAATCTTTACAGGAGAAACAAACATGTTCACAGTCTGGTTCAAAAATCTGTTTTTGGCCCCATAGCTCCTACTTATACACATTATGTGAGAAGTTACCTTTTTGTATAACCCATCCCTTTATCATTAACTTAAAGGTAAGAGTTTTGTATAATTAGAAGTTTGGCTCATTTGACTGACAGGTTGGTGCATTGTAGCTTTTTGCAAGGAGGCTTAAGGCTTTAGAGAAATCATTTCCAACATGGTGACTACAAACGTTTGGCTTCAAAATGCCTCTTCAGAAACCAGTTGGTGACGTCACAGACTTCATGCATGTTAAATACAGTCTATGGCCATCACCCAGTGACTATACCACTCTGTGATGATGGGTCGTCCTGTGTACTTTAAGTGAAGTTAAAATTGTTATGATGAAGTGACAGCAAGAAGTGAACTAAAAGTAAAAAAGAGAAGCAGGGGACCGCCAGACGTGAGAAGGTTTAACCATCAGACAGGACCAATCAGCAGACGCACACACTGCCAACATTATCAACTCTGTGATTCTTCTGATATCTCAGCCCCGAGATCGCGCCACACCGTCTGCTTACCGCTGAAGTGAGAGATTGAAGAGGTAGGTCTGGACCAGAGAGTTAGAGTGAGAGGACAGATGAGAGTGATAAGTATCAGTGCCTGCTATCAGACCGAGCTGCATGTGGTTCCAAACCTAAACCTGCTAGTTTATCTATAATTGACAATCACAGCCTCTGGAAGTTCGCCCAAACCCCCGGGAGATCCCAGGATGAAGAAGCAGTCCACTTGTTAAACCCCTGAGGCAGAGAGGAAGAACTTAAAAAGGTGAAAACTGATGTACAAATAATTTCACACGATATCTAAAAACCCTTTAAGAACTAGTTTCATAATTTTACATCTTTGTTTTGCAAAAAGGGCATTTTACTACCACGGTAACCATGTTCTTAGTCACCGTGTTGTCACTGAGCATCACCTCTTGCGTAGTGACTTTTATATGGCCTTGGATGGCTGCAGGAAGCCTCCTCAGCGGATAGACCACTAAGCCTTAATTGATTAAATGAAGTCTCTCATCTTTGAAGGTGTGTCAGGCAATCTCTCTAATAGCCTCCCACCCTTGTCACCGTGGAGCTTCAAGGAACAACAAGGCTGAGATCCAAGGACCGCAAGACCAGGCCAGTGCATGACTGGACATTTCATCACCAGCACTGTCCTTCATAGGGGGATAAGTGCGAGTGGTCTGAAAGTGGTCCCTACTTAATGGAAGAAAATAGAAACGCATCTGTTGTATATATTTCTGCAAAGGGTCAATCATAGAACCTTGATGCATGGTCGTTTGATTCATGTCCGTCAAAAGTGATTCAGTTTGTCTTATTTGTTGCTTATAGCCTGAGCAAGTGCCAGATCAATCTAAAAAAGAAATAACCGCACAGTGAAGGAATCATTACATAAAGTTATCTGTGAAGTCAGATTCCAAGAAGGTACACAGTCTTTAGAGTTGATGGCCAGTCTTGTTGGATTCAAAGACCAGATCACTTCCTGAGCACTGCAGAGTTGCCCTTGAGCAAGGCACCCACCCCAATCGCCCTCACAGTATCAATAAAGAATATCTTATATTTCATAACCTTAAGAAAACATCAATCAGCTGTTCAGGTACGAGAAAAGAACCAGGGTTTGAACCCTTTCTTTAACATGTGCACTGTTATCTTCATAGTGAAAAGATACTTTCAAGTGTGGCAGTTGAAACTAAAACTTTTAAATTTGCCCTTCGTTCAATATAAAATAACCTGACCCCCATCAACTCGATATTCAGGCTGATTTTGTCCTCGAGACCTCAGACCTGGTACAATAGAGCTTGATATGGACACTTAAGATGAATGTTGATCACCACCTCTACAAGTGGAGAGTCTGAATGATGTGTAATTATCTATGTGTCTGCAGGGGGAAGAAGCAAAGAGCAAAAAGGATTTATGGAGTGTACATGATACAGCTGCTGCCCAAATATTTAACTAAAACTGTCATTAAGACAACAATGACATATTGCATCATTGTCATAACTCACCAATTGTGACACATAAGAGACTGTCAAACGGTTACAATGAAGGAAAAGTATGCTAATGCTAACCTGACAACCATATGTATAAAGTTAACTCTGTGTCTAACGAAAGGCAGAATGTAAAAGACACCAGAATTTTTATTTCAAAGCTACGAGCACTGCTAAGATCCAGAGTTAATTTAAACTTTCAGACATTTTCTTCTACTTCTGAAGAATACAATTTAGTAGTGAGCCGAGGCAGAGGCAGCTCCAGCATGCGTATAATTACGGGAAAATTACATTCATTATTGCAATTTACATCTCATCTCCAATCCAATTATTAGCAGTTTGACCTGCGCGGCTCATGTTAGCACGGAAATCTAAAATGGGGCTCCCAAGATGAAGGCAAAGGAGGGGTGGGAGGACAGAAAGAAAGCAAGAGGGGAGAGCGTGGGACTTTGGGAGTTGTAGGCGGAGAGAAAACAATCAATATGGCTTGAAGAGATGATGATTTTAAAGAGCCATAATTCTCCGCCTCAGAGCACAGCTGCGAGGGCGCTTTGATGTCTGATTTGCAATATAGATGCCGGTAATTTGCTCATCCTCGTCCCTGGAGGGACCTGTCCATCTTGTTCATCTTCCTGTAAGTGTGCATCTGATGCCAGTCAGTCTGTCCGTCTGTACAGCTCATTCGATTATAAACAACACACATAACTTTTGAGTAACTTTCCATGGAGATCAGAACTCGTAAGTGGAGAATAGTTTATGTGCATTATACAAAGTCTCAAATCTAACCAGTAAACGATGCAAAACCTAACTCTTTTTTTTTACTTTTTTTTTAAGATTTATATTTGGCCGTTTATTGTAGAGATAGGACAGTGGATAGAGTCAGAAATGACATGCGGGAAAGGAGCTACCTGGGCCGCCCGCTTGGAGGACTACAGCCTCCATACATGGGGCACGCACACTAACCAATGCGCCACCAGCGCCCCGCAATGTATTTAAAGGCTTACAACTGATACAGATGACGGATCTTCTCTGTTCCTTTTTCAGAGAACATGAGTTATTAATTTCTGTCAGGACCTAAAGACAATTTCAACCAAAATCTTAAAAGTGGATCTGGAGGAAATGACCAACCCTGCCTTTAAGTGATCTTTGAGGATTGACTCACTTTTGGAGCCGGCCTCAAGTGGCCATTAGCGGTCAGGGTCATCATGTCTGTAAAGTTTTAGAAGTTTCTGCGTCATCAGTGTGATTCAACACACCCAAATGACTCTCGGGAACATGCGAGTGCTTCAGATGTAAGTTAAGATTACCTTTCTTTTACACTGTGCCTCTACTCTTTGAGATTGTCATTGATTTATTCTCTGGAACAATTTCCATGAATCTCCACACTCCAGCAGGCAGGTTGAAGGTAGATGGAGTGCGCTCCTATGTTAGGGCAGGAGAGTACTGTTCAATCATGTGTGTGTGTGTGTGTGTGTGTGTGTGTGTGTGTGTGTGTGTGTGTGTGTGTGTGTGTGTGTGTGTGTGTGTGTGTGTGTGAATCCATGCCCGTATAAGAGTTCTGGTTTGAATGTCTCAGATGTCCTTCTGAAGTCTCAGACAGCTCTGCACCAGCTCACTGGTTCCACTTCATGGGACATGAATGTGTGGACATGAGCCACGACTGAGTCACAGACTTGTGTATGCCCATTTTTTACGGATGTGTGTGTGTGTGTGTGTGTGTGTGTGTGTGTGTGTGTGTGTGTGCACATGTCCGTCTTGCTCTGGCATGTGTGCTCTTGCTCATGCATGACTGAGCAGCCAAATGTGTCTCCATACCTTCCGCTGTCTCAGTTTCTACCTGTCTGTCCACGTCAGAACACTCGTGTTCCCTGGACACTCTACACAGACACTCGACCCCACACAAAACACCTGAAGCATGTTATGCAAAACAGACGCCGGCCGGTTTGTTGTTAAGTAGAAAAAGTTTACTCTTTTTTTACAAGGAAGACTGGTTATATTATTCTTTGTGAAACAACTAAGAATTTGTAAGGAGTATGTGGCGGCGCCGGAGAGCCTAGCGGTTATGTTGCGTGCCCCCACAACAACGAGGTATAAAGCCAAAGTAGTGAACTAATCATGATCATGTTTCCATTGGACTCACTGGATCGCAGAGCGGATGGGGTGACCTCGATCTCGCTGTTGGCCTGGTAGGGCTGAAAGGCCGATGCTGAGCTCATATCGCTGGCAAAAGGTTCGGGGCTCTGGGTACCTGAGCTGGCACTCGTACCGTCCCCTCCATTGTGAGGATCCTGCTCTTCATAGACGGCAACCAGCTGCAGAGAGAGAGAGAGGGAGAGAGAGAGAGAGGAACATAGTGCATCAGTGTGAGGAATGATACAAATAAATTATGTATTTGATTAAAGCCTAAATATACACACACATGACTAAGTTGTACATGCTTTATAAACTAGAGATCTGATTTGACAAGGGGTGGGCAGATGGTGGTCGGGGGCCGTCCTGACTCAAAGTGGACCTCCAGTCAATTTCAAATATGCATCAATTCTAAACATGAAGAAGACATTACACAGCCTGCCACGTGCCAAAGAGACACCATGCACAAAGACCAAATGCATCAGAGACAAGAGAGTTTGTTTTGGTGTTGTTTGGTTAGAAATTAGAAGATAAAGGTGTGTGACAATATCAAGTCAAAGATATTTTCTGCATACAGGTGTGTTGGTTTTGAAATTTGTCATTCACCCAAAGTGACCCAATCTTGTTGTAAATATTGTTGCAACAGTCTCTCTGTCGCTCACTCTCTCTCTCTCTCTCTCATTCTCTCTCTCGTTCAACCTCTCAGTCGCTCACTCTCACTCTCTCTCATTCTCACTCTCTCTCTCTCTCTCTCGTTCAATCTCTCAGTCGCTCATTCTCACTCTCTCTCTCTCTTACTCTCAGTCTCTCTCTCTCTTTCTCTTTCAGTATCTCTCTTGTTCTCTCTCTCTCTCTCAGTCTCTCACTCTCTCTCTCTTGTTTTCTCTCTCACTCTCAGTCTCTTGCTCTCTCTCTATCTCTCTCAAGTATAATCCTGTAGACTCGTGTTGTTTCTGCGTTGCCAGGTTTGGCTCCCACACTAAACTGCTTCTCACATTCCCACAAAGGTGATACGCTGCCTTTGTTGACAGGCAGTAATATGACATCCCATAATAACCACAGTCTAACCACACACTGCTCACCACCGCAGCCAACCTGGACACCAAGTAGGAGTCAGAACTGCAGCCTGTAGCCTTTTCCTAAACCTCTAACAGGAGGATTAAACTCTTATACCATCCAGACAGAGCAGCAGCAGCAGCCTGATACAGAAACATGCTACACACAACAATAATACGTATATTACAGACGACAGAAGAGTTCCTTTTCATGTCTTTGTGCCACCAGCAAATCTTTGTAATGGGAGGCCATGGATGTGAGGAGAGTAAACCAACAAAGAGAGCATTAGTCGCCGACGGGAGCAAGCAGCTTTCTCACATCGTATTTGTCTGAGGGTTAAAAATAGTGTTTTCCATGTATTTGCTGTTTTTTCATCACCTCAATGCACGGAAATCTGCATATAAACAAGTTTAGCAAGTCCCCCCTGCTCTTCTCTTTGATTTAATTCATATGCAGAGGTTGATGCTTAAGTGTGCATGTGTTTGTGTGTCTGCGTCTGGATTGATGCCCTCATGTGAGTAGGAGCGTGTGGTTTAACTGTTGCAGTGATTTACGGTGACGTCTCTCACACTGCCTCTGCACAGTTAAATCAGTTTTCATTTAAATAATTTTTTTACCCTTACATATTTTTCCCACACCATGATGCAGTTTTTTTTGGAGGGCGTGCTCAATCACTGAAGGCTCGCACCATCTCACTGTAATCACGTCTCATTCTGATCTTGAAATTACATTCCTCAGGTTGTAAGGGGATTTATCACAAACTCTCTCAGTGAACCAGAGAGGGAAATCAAAAAGGAGAGAGATCCGGTGCTACGGAAAAAGAAGGCATTAATATCGGAAAGGCCGCGTTAAAGGAGGTAATTTGCAGAAGGGTTTGCTTGTTGGTAAATATGTAAATTCACATTTAAAGCATGAGAAAACACGATGTGTTCAAGGGCAAACACAGGTAATAAGCAAAGTGTGTTACATCTATCTGACATGATAAACAGTTTGGTTACCTCCATTCCCCCCCTAAAGACAGACCTTGTAAGGGGAATTTATTAAAGATGTTTTTTCATGTGATATCCTGATCAAATAGATCTCAAATAAAGCATCAATAACAGCCAGGACAAGCATTCTTATTTCAAAGGAAAGCTAAGGTTTCCATCTTTTGCATCATCATGTTTTTCAGTCACTCATGGTTTCATTAAATAATTGAACATGTGGTGTGAAATGTGATTTTTTTAGAGTGAGAGTGAAGACTCTGTGAGAGACAAGGGGTGGACAAGGAGAGGGGTGGATTCAAATAGAAAATAAACGTAAATAGATCATGAATGTAAATATTTGAAATAAAAAAAATTGTAATACTGAATGCAAACCTCACAAAATGAAACATCATCTACACATGTTTAGGGATATTGAGCATTTAAAGGTTCCCCAAAATTTATACAACTACAAGTATACCAAACGATACCAAAAAGGGACGGTTGTGGGTCAGCTGGTAGAGCCGGTCGTCTCTCTACTGGAAGGTTGAGGGTTTAATCCCCAGCTCCTGCAGCAACGTGTACGATGTGACCTTGGGCAAGACATTCATAACCCTGCTGCTTTGCTGGCGGCGTGTGAATGTGTATGAATGAATTAGTTTCTTCTGATGGTCACTTTACACAGCAGTCTCTACCATCAGTGTGTGAATGTGTAGGTGTGACCTGTGGTGTAAAAAGAGCTTTGAGTATTCAGAAGACTAGAAAAGGTCACGTCCATGAATCCATTACAAATGAAACTTCTAAACGATATTACACTCTGACCATTAAAAAGCATATCTCAAAAACTATCTTGTCCCTTCTAGAGCGATCAGCAATATTTTGTTAAAGGCGATTGTGACACACGCCCCATGTACAGTGGCCAAGGTCCTCGTTGCAGCGGCTGTGGGTCTTAATCTGACCTCTGCCCTTTGCTGCATGTCGTCCCCCTACTCTGTCCTCCCAGCGTTTTCTGTCTCTTTGCAGCTGTCCTGTCCAGTGAAGGCAAAAAGGCCCAAAAATATAACTTAAAAAAGAAATCTATTACATCAAGAGTGCTTTTTAAAGAGCAGAATTTGATCGCAGCATACATGATTTATTTCCACATTTTGACAACATTTTGAGACGTATTTACAATTACCATGGCGTCTTGATCTATGCAGATTCTTGTCCTAGTTTGTTGAGACTTTATAAGCATTCAAAATCTTCATCAGTATCATATATATTCACATCAGAAAAAGAACATATACAGATGTAGGCCGGGGTGACCTTTAAAATGTTCACACTAATTTGAAATTTGAAAGGTGAAGTTGTGTTTTTGCTTTTACCATCGTAGAGATACTAATGAGGGGAACATCCCTGAACACAGACTAAAGTAACGGCTTGTCCTAAGACGTGTTTACGCCGCCTGTGTGCATGTGCGAGCCAATGAATCATTAGCGACAAAGTAATCAGGCCTCCCATTCATATGTTTCTGGGAGTATTGAGCAAGCAGACTAGCCCTCTGCTCTGCCAGCTGCCCGTTTCGAGACGTGCTGAATACTGTTGTTGGTGTGTGATTCATTTTTAAATACATTCCAAATCCCTCTAATTAGGTCCACTTTGTTGTGTCTTTGCATCCTTTCAGCAGACACTCCAGAGCACTCTGTGGGTATCTGACACATACAGCTAAAACTCAGTCACACACGCTCCACTTTGTAATCACATGGTTCCTGCATTTATCCTGCGTTTAATATTTATGGCCTCTTGAAAGTGCTTGTCCGTCTCCTGAATTCAAGGAGACATGAAAAGTTAACACTGTTCAGACACAACATTTCTCATTTCTGGCGGGTAAACAACTTTTCTTTTTTTTCTTGATTTATTTCCACTGTCCATTCTGATCTGTCCAATTAACCTCTAAAGAAAAAGAACAGTAAAAAAAATGTCATTTGAGACGGCTTTCCAATGTTGAACCTAGAAACCTAATGTTTCTACCAGGTTCCCATCATATCCTACACAAAGTAAACCGCAATTTTTGTGTGAAATTCTTCAAATATCCAACATCAATCAATCAATCATTATTTGTATAGCGCCATCACTTGGCTTCAAAACGCCTTTCCTGAAACCAATGGGTGACGTCACTGAGACTACGCCATGTTTTATACAGTATGTGGTCTGGACCGGCTCTAAATGGTAAGGGTCATGGGATAACTTTTGCAATGATTGTAAATAAATACTGATTGGTGGTTCAACCAAATAAGTGATAATGACAACGTATAGGGCAGCAGGCATGGCATGGTTTTTTATGTATATTTTTTTGTGTGTACTTATCTAAAACACCCAGTTATGAAAATCCAAATCACTATTTGCATACGTTCCAGCATGGCATGTGGCCAGTTGTTCATGCTCTGACCAAACAAGGATGAAATAAAAAGCTGGGAAAGAGAGACTCTTCCCAGTTTCACTAACTCACTTATCATCAATAAACATCTGTTTACCATCTTTGGTCTGGGCTGCCAGATTTCAAACAGTGTCCCATGAAGCCTCATACTCTCTTTTCTCTCACAGTTCTCTCCATCATGTTTCAGTCTTTTGTCTGTGAGGCAGGGACGGTGGGCACTCTTGGCTGGACGGAAAAACTGACGCAACTCCCTGTGTTGACGGAACAGAGTTCAGACTGCAAACCCAACAAAGACATCCCGCTAACGTCTTCCCTCCATCTGGACATTTGTCACAGCTACTTAAGAACTGAGACGATTTCACATTTCAATATTTTTTCATTTGCAGAGTTCCCCCCTGTGGCTACTCTGAAGCAGGTGTAGAGTTTTTATTCCAAAGTTTTTCTAAAGACGGAAAAGTTTTTATATAGATGCCTAAACGGGAACAGCATGGCTAATTGTCAAGTGGCATTAAAGCTACGGATGAGGATTCAGAGTGTAGGGATGGAGGGAAGCACTAAAGGAAGAATTTGAGTAGCGAGATGCTACAAACTGCAGCAAAACACACATTCAGATCAAATCCAAAGGCAGGTAAAGAGAAATGAGAGATGGAAAGCTTGTGACACGATGTGAGCTGAAGAAATGTTCCAGTTTCCAGTCTCAGGATAAACTCAGGAGCGATTTGAAAAACCTATTTAGCCACCACCTGCT